ACATTCACTTCCGCCTTGAACTCCTTCTCCCCTTCCTGAAAAAACTTGTCTAGTTTCTTCACGGCAACATAATTCCTGGACAGTTCTCCTTTATAAACAGTTCCAAAGGCACCCTTCCCCAGTTCTTCCTTGAATCCTTTTGTGGCATCTTCGAGTTCTTTGTATGTGAAGCAACGCAGATTCGTCTCAATCTCTCCTTTCCTGTGGATACTGTTGAGATCCTTAAGCTTTCTTCGATAGAAACAGAACAGAAAAAGGGAAATCACAGCCAAAGTAAAAATGTTGAAAAATGCTGATGTGCCTAAGAGGACCGACAGAATGAGAATGACTTGACTCTGCGGTTTTTCGTCTGATTTCAGTACCTTGATAAATACCTTTCTGTCAATTTGTTCTTGATTGAACCGCCCATTTGAAAGCGGTAGTTTCTTCATCCAGCAGCGTCCGGTGCCATTGTTCAACTCCGGAGGCTGCAGGATGGCTACTGCACAATTACAGTCAATAAGGCAAGCCCTTCTGCATTCTGTGTCACTTACAGGTTGCAGGAGTTCGTAGTCACCAAAGGGCCAATCTGTAAATTGCATTGTATTGAACTCAAAACGATCCTCCCCAATAATAGAGCCTTCCTCGTTACAGTCTTCTGGCTTGCTTTGGTAGTTGGGCTTGCATCCAAAAAGTGGATTCTTAGCATCCAGGCTAGAAAATCCGCGTGGGCACGAACATGTCGCCCTCCCATCCTGGTTAGGTTGACAGATGCTGTTGTACCCACAAGGTCCACTTCCCAGTGGATCTTGACTCACAAAGCTGAAGCAGATATCCTTAGGTCTATACCACCAGGATGCCCAGGTTGCATCTCCATAGGAGGTCATATACTTAGAGTGAGAATACAGGGTGAAAACTCCATCAAAACCAAGTGTTGCCCTGTAGTATGAGTCCTGTTTTGGGATTGTTTTTTCTGGCGCAAGCTGGACAAAACTTCCACTTGATTTCCTGATCAGGATATACCCGGATTCGTTGAAGATCAGTCCCGAACCATCTGTGATGTTTAAGTAAAATTGGAAAGGCTTTTCGGTAACGACATCTATTTGATTGAGTACTAGAGCTTCGGGAGTGAAACGGAGTTGAAATTTCCCCTTCTTGTAGCTTGTTGCAGAGAAGGCTGATGAAAGAGTGCTGCTTAGGCCTAGTTCTTGTCCTGGCAATATGGTGTCTGTTGGATATTGGAAACTCTCCCATATGTTGCCTGAATTCCCGCCTGTGATGACGAAATTTCCAGTATCCAACATGGCTGCATGGGATACTCCTCCAGTGCCATCTTGGGAGCTGTTAGTCGACCAAACCTCCCTGCCAGAAGGAGCTGTGAGCACTAGACCATTGGAGGTAAGCTCAACTTTGGATTCTATCTCTACAAGGTTGTCTCCATTTGCAGACCAAACTATTGTTTTTTGGGGTATCTTGGCGAACCAGATAGCAAGGAGGAATCGATCTTGTTGGTCAGGAGCACGGCGAAACCCAAATTCAAAATCTCCGGATGGGGATTGCCATGTACTGTTTTGATCATTGGCAGTGAGAAATTCGCCCGCAATTACATTGCTGGAAGCACCTTGAGCTGCTGCAAGGATCAAGAAACTACTTACGAGGATGAGGAATGGATTCCGAAGAAGGGCTATAGATGAAATCATGGAATCAGATGAGTAAGAAGTGATTGTAAATCCCCAGAGAAACTTTGAGAGTTTCCTGATTTTGGGAGGCATTTAGCGAAGCTAAGCTGCCTGGTTTTCTACATGGTAATTGCTTTGACTGCTTGAGAGCCACAAATGACCTGGATGGACAGGACAGGGAAAAAGTCAAGATGCGTAAAAGACTGCATCTTTCCATCTTCTTAGAAATTAAACC